TATTCTGGATCAATAATTCTGAGCAATCCAGGATGGATTTTCAAAACACAAAAACCAAAAAAACACCCCAATTTTAATTGAAAATAGCCTATTTAGCTACCTTTGTTCATTCAAAGGGAAAAATTATCATGCTTGGTACCTGAAAAATATCATTTAACTGCACAAACAATAAATGCTGTTTCATTACTAGAGTATAGTTACTGTGAATATAGGCATGGTGAGATTTTCACATGAAGTCTGAATACGGTAATCCCTGGCAGAAGAAGAATGAAATGTACAGAGCTGGGTATAGAGCTGGGTCCCATTTTACCCAAAGCCTGTATTTTTCTTGGAAAGGAGAAAGAAATGAAAGTAGAAAGAATAAATGGCTATTTTCACTTCTATGTGTTTTATAAAGGAATAAATTAAAAGTCTGTACTGCTCCAATGCATTTAAATTGTGAGTAATGCCACGGAAGGTGAGGAAGGGGGAAATCTATCAAAAAGTCTACTTTTCTAAATGGAGCTCTTCAGTTTCCTGCCATTTTTAAAACTGTGTAATTTTTTTAATACTTCTGACTGGAACAAAAAAAAGCCCCCCATCTTTCAATAGCATGACAATCCATTGCTTCTCTTTGTGAATGTAAAAACTATTTTATCTCAGCTTGCTTGGATAGTCAAATGTCGCCTTGCTGCTCCTTCATCCCCAGGACTTGTCTGGCCGATGCTGCGCAGCCTTGTGCTCAGCTACAGACCAGACTCTGAACCACCTCTCCTGCGACGCACCGCGACAACGCCTTTACAGCTCAGCTCCACATGGCAAAACAGTTTAACTGGGAATCCCAGTTTACAGAGGAGAGCAACGACACCCAAGCGCTTGGGATTTTGACCGGCATCTGCAAGAAGCGGACTTGCTTTTTCAGAAGCAAACAGAAAAATTCTGTTTTCCCCAAATATCCAATTTTCTACTGCGAAACTATCAGCCGAAAGATTCTGAAGAGCCTTCATTTAAAAGCAAGCAAGGATGAAGGTAGAAATTGTATGTGTAAAATAGCTAATAACCAGGCCATAAACATGCAGAGTTGCACAGGCATCTAAATTAATTGCCTGCTATGTTCCAGTCAGCCCAACAGCTTTCCTGGGAAATCAGCATTCTTCACACAGCCAGCAGTGCTTTCCCTGGGGTGACTCCGGCTGTACCCAAATGGCACTCTGCACCAATTTCCACGCAGTTTTTATTTCTTGCACCTTTCCTTGGGTTTGATCCTCTTCATCTGAAACCAGTGGGGATGTTTCCAGAGGTGACTGACCTGCCAGATCTGGTGGGACCAGGGCGTGGGATCTTGCCTCAAGTGAAGGTTAAATAGATTTGAGGGAAGAGCTACCACGTCTCCCTCCACCCGCACTCCCATCCAGCCAGGTGGGAATTCAGCTTACACTGGATGAGCTATGGTTTTTTCAATGGTTAAGTACATTTTTTTTGTAACGGGGACAGGGCTTTATACTCTACCATGTTTTGATCCAGAAATTACTTCTGCCAGTCCAGACCCACTATACCGACCACATGTCCTGCAGACAGACACCAGCATCCTCCAGCTCGGGAGCACTGGGCTCCTGTACCATCAGGCAGCCAGAATATCATCACCTTGTTTTACAGCTGAAGCCACCCATGGCTTTCATCCTCTGAACTACTGCTTTAGGTCATGGTGGCCTCTATGTGCGGTTTGGGTTTGTTTGTTTGTTGGGTTAGGGTGTTGTGTTTTTTTTTTTTTTTGGGGTTGGGGTTTTTTTTTTTTTTTTTTTTTTTTTTTTTTTTTTTTTTTTTTTTTTTATGAACAACAGTACATACTCCTGGAGTAGTCTATAAAATATCTTGCTACTGCAGTCATTGAGAAGGATACACTGAACCGAATCAGCCTTAATTTGCAAAGACACCTCCATGGTGCCCTCTGACTTAGCCAAGCTCGTTATACTACTTCAGAGTTAGACACTACTGAACCACCCTTCCCTGGCACTGGGATCTTGAAGCTGAGGATGGTGCCCTGACAGAGGAACAGAGCTTCAGCTACTACACGCAGCTGTGCAAAAGCCAGGTGCGCCTAACTACAGCAGCTCCCACGAGGTACAGTGCTCTGCCTGGAGCCCACCCGAGAAGCCAGGCAGGGCTCTGCCTCGGGAGGGATGTTCCCAGGGCAGGACCCCGTCCCCAAGTCCCTTGGCTCCAGTTATACCTGCAAATTACAAGATGTCACCAAAGGAATCATTGTGCAGGGCTTGGGACTCCCTCCTACAGCAGCCCCGGTCCATAACATTGCATCTGCAAAGTTTTTCCAAGGTGCTTTTCTCTTAACACGTTTATTTTCTTATTTAGGAAAATACTTATTTTCCTGATTTTATTTGCCAGCCCAGTTTTACCCAATTCTTCCCTTCCCAGAAACGATGATGGAGATTACGAAGTTTGGAAACCAATTCATAGCACACATATATAACTAAATTATTATTCATTCATTAGTTGCAGTATCCTCAAAATAAATGGATTAATGCAGAGGTCACAATACATTTTGGAGTGCATTATCCAGAATACTTTTTTCAAATTATTTCCTCTCCACCACGTTAGTCCGAAATGTGCAGATTCTTAAATGAAGTGAAATAATTTTTGCACTGTTCTGAGAGCAAACGCACTCCTCCAGACTATCATGCCTGCCGTAACAAAAGGTGCATTCCTAAAATTTTGCACTTCAGAATTCATGGGAATATGTGAAAGCCTCAACTTTCATCAAATACACCCTTCACTTTTATAGAAAGCAAAACCAAACCCCCAAGGTTTTAGAAACAATTTGAATTCATGAACCAAGCACATGCCACGAAAACCCCTTAGAATTAAAGAAGTAGATATAAGTATGCAAAACACAAAATGCATCAATTAAAGTCACCCCTACAATTCAGTGGGTGAAAAAGGAAAAACAACAACAAAAACCTCAAGGACAAAAACTGCATTTGAATCAAAAGAGAAAATGAACTTGCTAGCACTTTAGCCACATAAAAGTTTTGGAATTGAAAAATTAATTATTTTCCCAGTATTTACTGCAAAAAAAAAAAAACACCCCAGAGAAGAGAGGAGGAATTAATTGTACGTAAAAGCAGGGATGGCCTACAGGGATGGCCTGCTTTCCTGAGAAAGGCCAAAGCGATGCTGGAACAAAGCACCCAAAACAAAAAGCTTTCCTCAGCATATCCCACGCTCTGGTTTTCAATAAATTCTGCTGCATGTGTCTGTTCTGTCCTGCTGCACTCAGTGCTGAGAAAAAGAAATAACCCAGGGACAAAGGTGTTTTTTAACATCACAAAAAATTAAGATTAAAGGACAAAATGAGACTCTCTCTTTATGAGCCAGCTTCCCCAAGTGATGCTGCCTGGGGGTTTCAGGCAGATGCTCTCCAACGAGGACAGAGAATGAAAGCTTAAACCTCCCACAGCTTAGATGCCACTTTCTACACAAAGCAATGTGTAATTAGCATCTATTTGCTTAATTTCATTTCTGTTATTAGCACACACAAACAGCTGCAGTGATTTAGATCCACGACCCAGCTAGTCCAAGATTCTGTCTCAAGCCATGGTCTGTAACTGATGCCCAGGAAAAGTGTGTACGGAGCAGGGCAAGCGGGCAATGCTGCCCAGCTTATCCTCCCAGCTCCTGTACACACTGGTTAAGGGACTTCCAAAACTGGAAACTACATCAAAACCATCATGTTCGATAATCTCTGACAAACCTCGCTCCATGGGTTAGACAAGCTGATTTTTATGAGTCTCTATCCAATTATGAATGACCATGATATATTTTCCTACTGGAAAAACAGCTAAGCAAAACTCCTTGGACAGAAATGTCAGGCAAGCTTGAGATTAAATAAGCTTGAGAAAATTCAGGCTGGATACACTCAAAAAATAAATACATCAAAATGCATGTATCTCTGCTAAACCCCACAGTCTTTAATCAAAATTCCCACTGAAGTGAGTAGCGAGAGGCGAGTTGTTGCCAAAGTTCATAGCGAGAGCCATGGGATGAGAAGCAAAGTTCTGTCAAAAATGAGAAATTGCCAAGGAGAGAGAGCAGGAGGAGCGGATCGCTTCTCGGCACGACAATCTCAGGCTGCCTTGAAGTTTAGGAAGCTCAAAGAGCCACTTAAGCTGGCGCTCAGGATTCTGCTGAACTGGGGCCTGAACAGTTATTATTTACTCTTATCACATTGAAATATGAATTCCATTGGAAAGGGGAAAAAAAAAAAAGAGGAGAGGAAAAGGACAGTAACACAGACTGTTGCAGACTCACAGAAGTACTACAGACATCTTTGTTCGGACACAATTTAAACGGGCAGAGACACATACTGGATTTTTACTTAATAATTTTAAATGCTGGTATTTACCTATGCACACAACTCAGGCACTTGTGCAAGGTCCAAAACCAACCGGTCTGTACAGATGCACCACCAAAGCAGCTAAGCCACCCATCAAGAAAATCTAACTACATCAACCCCACAAGGTTTGAAACCCTAGGCCAGCACCCTGCGCTAGGCACACGTGCCTACACCGCAGCAAGGCTCATATTCCGACACCCACCGCCATCACCACCTGGGCTTGCAAATTCAAAGGCCCTTCAGCCATCTCCTCCAACCGCAGCCACTAACACAACCACGGTGCCAACAGAACCCAAGCAGCCCTCAGGTTGGGCTGGGAAGGAAACAAATACGCCAGCATAAAAAGCATTAGCAGTTTCACATTTCTACAGTCAGATAGAAAGCAAAGGAGTGCAGCCTGTCCACAGCCCAGCTGCACCCAGACCCACCTCTTATACCGACTCATAGAATTTAAGGAGCAGGTTTGGACAACAAAAGCCTTTCTGCTTCAAAGGGAAGTCCCCTAAACGTCCTTCTCTTTCCAGAGGACCAAAGACAAAATCCTGAAGCATTCAAACCACTTCGGTTCCAAACATCATAACCAAGTAAAACAGAAAAACTCATGCTGTACCTGCTCCAAAGGCAAAGAAGAAGCTCTTGTCTGTGTTCTCCCTTAAAAGCGCCATCACTCTCTTCCCCATCCTCTCATTCCTCTTGTAGATGAGCTCCTGTCTGAAGTAGCTGTCTATCTCTTGCGCCGTCACCTGCTCGTGGGGTGGGAGCGTTGTGTTGATGAAGTTAGGGACCTGAAACCAGAAGAGACTGTAGTTCAGGTGACACAGGTTAAGTAATCCCCAAAACACTGGCTGTTTTAATCTAGCCTTGTTTAAACCACCTGAGCATCACTACCGTGCAAAAAAAACCAAAAAACACAACACCCACCCACCCCACCCCCACCACATTAGATGATGAGAACTTGTGAGGTTGCTGAGAACTCTACAAAGAAGAAAACAAATCGCTAACCAACACAGGGGTTTTTTTGTTTGTTTTTAACAAAGTGAAACTAGTATTTTTACTAAATGAAACTGAAGTTCATTTTGACTTTTCTCTGTTCCTTCAGCAGAATGCAGTTTTAGGTGTCACATTTGCGTGAGTTACTAAAACCTTTATTCTCTGCTTGTTCAACACAGTTCATGGGCTATTTAATACCAGAATGTCCTGTAATCTGTTCTCAGCCAAGGTCACCATGAACTTGAGAACAGACTGCAAGATTTGGCTTGTATCTGCTCCTTTTTAATAACTTAACAGTTATAAAAAGTAAGTAAGCTTAGCAAATCCAGACATTGGAATAGGTAAACAGGATAAACCGCCTCACCTTTCTCACAGTTTTAGATGCTATTAGGTCTCATCAGAGGAGACCATGTGTTGCAACACATAAACCCCTAGAACACTCCTGATGTTTCTGAAGAAGGGATTTCCCCAAGAACTGCTGCTTCAATCATTGTTTTTGTGAGAAGAGACATTCATAGGTGCAGAAGAATGGCTGAAACCCCAAGGACTGTTTGAGTCAGGGCAGCAGACCAAGGGATGAGCCAAGACTGAAGGTATAACGGACAAAGAAACAAGAAGTCTCTGATTATTAGGACAGGCAACTTGTTTTGGCATGGTGAGGATCCAAGGTCTACCATGAGAGTTCAGGAGCCTACAGACCCTGCAGCGAGGAGTGCTCTAAGTGGGCACTGTTTGACGACTGCTAACAGGACCCAGGTGCCTTCTGGTGATTATCTGTGCCTCACCACAGGGAAAGCAGCTTCAGCTGCAAAACCCAGATTCAGATTTCTGAGTCCCCAGCTACATGTAAAGCTGCCAGGATTTCCAGTGTTAATCTGATCTGGTGGTAATGGTATTGCACGCAGAGCCCATAAGGGCAACATCCCTTACTCATCACACTGAAATACGTGATGTAAGGACTCTCTTACTTTGGTTAAGTCTTTCCCTGGTTTTCTACAATACCAAATTCCTGTACTCATTTTCTAATACTTGCCTTTAGTCTTTGTTTTTCAGGCCACCTCTTACCCTCTCGCTTGGCCACATGACTTTATCACAACAATTTTTGTCTCTTCCCACGCTCTTCACTCATATTGCCTCACCAAAAGCTTTCAGCAAGTCTTAGGGAAAGAACTAATTTCCATCTTCCCAGTGTCTCTCCTTAACACTTTTTCACTGCAACCTCATCTACAGCTCTCCCAGCATGTGGGGGACAGAGCAGCAGAGATTTCTCACCTTGCACCATGCTGAAGGACAAATCTAGGCCTTGCTCTGGATTCCCACCAAAGGCTGTACCCAGTTGGGTGAGACAGAAATGGGCACCGCATCTCCTCAGCCAGGGAATCCCATGTGGCTGGAGTTAATGCTGCTGCTGACAGCAACCTGCCCCAGCCTATTGGGCCATGCAGACAAGCTGGACCTTTGATTTCCCAAACCAGTTCTCGACCTGGTTTGCCAAATCACCATACTTGTCACAGTGTGTCCCTCCTTCAGGGTTCAGTTGCATTACCCTGAGCCTTTCCTTCCTCCAGGCTTTCCATTATGGCTTGGCTTCACCACCCTATCTTGTGAACTCCTCAGAGCACGAAAGTACTCTGCACCTTGCTCTCAGTTTAGCCCTTTGCCAGCACTCAGCAAAGAAGAAGTCCCATTAAGCCAGACCTGACGGAGACACCATTTTCCTGTTAAAACACAAGGAAGCTGTCTTGATGTCTGGCAAGAACGGGCGTTTGTCTCAATGGGACACAGGAGCAGCCTTCCAGCGTCGGAGGGGTAAAATGCTGGCTACAGCAGCAAAGGGTGTCATGGCTTCGACTCCTGGTGAAAGGCAGGGAGAGATTTTTGTTGCAGGAATAAAGTCTGAGGAATGAGCAGCCATATTACACTTGCAATGACCTCTGCAACGCAAAGCTGTACATCACTTGGTCCACACAGATATCACAAGCATTTTTACCTCCTCTGTGCTGAGGCTCTGTGTTTAATGGGGTGATGTAGCTGAGACAGGAGTCAGGGGAGCCTTCAGAAACTGAAATGGAAGATGAAATTTCTTGGGAACATCTGAAGGCTCAACACCCACATAAGAGGAGTCTCTTCTTCCCTGCTGTTGGCTGAAGGGAAGGCTGGGAACAGATGGGACCTGGTCTTGAATCACCTGCAGTGCTTCAGGGAAAGCAAGGCATGGTGCTGCCTGTGAGGACAACCTGCAGGAGCAGCAGTGCTGGGGGATCGAATGGCTTTCTGCATCCTGCTTCAACCAGGGAAAGCTCTGATGCTGGAGGTCTAGGTAGCCCAAGGACAGAAGTTGTATTCAGACCTTGACCAAGTGGGTATTTGCTATGAAGGAATGCACCTTTCTTCAGCTCGTGCAACTCCATCTCGTGCAATTCTATGTCCACATTCAACCCACAGTTTGTTCCTCCCCTAACTAACCTAAAACACAGTCCACAAAATGGAGCCATTTACTTGGCATTTTTTCCCCTCCCTTTCTTTCTTTTCTGTGGGAAAGAGTTTGCCAGTGGCAGAGACATAAATTTAAAACCAAAGACTGGGCTTCGTCAGCATTTCTCGTGCTTGTCCAAAAAACAAGACAAAGGAAGCCATCACCGCTAGAGGCACATCGTCAGCTACAGATCCTGCTGCACCTTGTGCATTCCTGTATTCCTACTGACTGTGCCATCAACGGCAAAAATAAAACATGCACTTATGTTTCTGCGCGTGTGTGGCAGAGGGCAGAAGATAAATGATTGACGTAAGTATGCCTGTACACAGTAGTGCAACCACACTCTGAGCTATGACACTGGCCCCATTAATCACCTCTGCTCCTCCCCGCATCTCCGTTCCTTTCCACAGTCACTGACATACACCATGCCTGGCTTCAAGGAGGCAGCTGCTCCTGTTGATTTAAGAAACCCTTTCGATTCCTAACCACCAGACAGGGATCAGGAAGTCAAGAAACAGTCACATGCAATTAGGAAGCTGTCAACTGCAGCCAGGATTTAAGGGCTTTTTTTGGAAGAAGGAAAATCTGTTGTTTTAAAAGGATGGGCTAAAGCATGCACCAAAGGGATGCATCTTCCCTTTTCAACTTTCTAAAATATTTTTGCTTCCATTCAGTGTAAAAAAAATTTTAACATTTTAGTGATAGGTATTTGTTGTTTTGAACTGAGAGTGAAGGGATGAGACATTTACTGTGCCAACAGGAGAGGGACTGACCTCCTGAGAATAGATAAATACTATTAATACTATTCAAATGTATAGTGCGGTTGGATGATGTGACTGTTGAAAAATCCTAACTTCTAATTTTGCTGTTCATCTAGGGGAGCAGCAGTTGGATCAGGAGAAAAAGATAGTGCTATCCATCACCTGGGGCATGCTCACTTTGTAGGGGATACACATGGCAAGAGATAAACAGATTCTTTCTGTCCAGAGGTGCTCAAAAGAAAGAATATATTGTTTGTCTCAATCAGCTAGAACTCCTCCTTTTTTATACTCCTATGGACAACACAGATGGACCCCAAACTCAGCCATTAGGTACACCCTGCATTTCTTAGTAAAGCTTTTGAGGTTAAAGGAAGAGAATATCAGAACAAAAAAGAAGGCCCAGAAATTTCTTCCCCTCCACACTGTCTGTGTAATTTTACTTGAGTCAGTATCCCTGATGGAATAGATGTGTGGGTAAATCTCTGCACACACGTCCGAGCTCACAGTGCTGTGGGATGCAGGCCATAATTCTTCACCTTTGAAGTCAGTGGGAGCTTTAGGAAGAAGAAAGAGGAAGGATTGTGGAGTGGTTATGACACTACCCTGAAAAAATGGTTCCATTCTCATGGGTGATATAAATCTCTTGAATGATCACAAGCATGTCATTTTGGTTTAGACCTTCAAAGGAAATTCAGCACTTAACCTCCACTAAGTATCTTTGAAGCATTTGGCTTTATTCCTCCTGTCTCTCAAAAGTCCATCTGTAAAATGGGGACAGCAAGACTTTCTAACTTGAGAACAGATGTTACATACAAGGCACTGCCTGAATCTAGCTGTTGAAGGACCCAAAGGAAGATCCAAAGTCCAAGGCACTGCTCAGCAGTAACCTCTCTTCCCAGAAATAATTTGTGGAAGGAGGTTGGGATTCTGCTGCAATCATTAGCATAAGAGCTAACAACATACTTTAGCTTAGAAAAATGCATCAGCCATATCTCAAAATCTATGCTATGCTGTCAGCTTTGTCTATAGAGACAGAGATACACAAATGAGAAAAAAAAAAAAAGGAAGAGAAAAGCAAAATATATTGGTGCAGAGTCTTTTATCCCAGTTAGGGCTTACTGCCAAAGTTCAGCTGAAAATTCATAAACACTGGACTACATTTAAGTACATTTTCTTATCTACTATTTTTTAATATTTGGACAAATATTCTGGGCAGAGGCACAATGCCAGAGTTGTGACTATCTATCTGCAAATAATTTTTTTGGACACATATAAGCACCATCAACTTTGGTTAACTTTTTTTTTTTCCTGGTTTTGATCCATTGGCTACAGTGGAACTGTTCTAGCTACAGACCAGTATCAAATCATAATCAGATGTGGAGGAATAGTGTTATCGTTCCTACTCCTACAAACTACATTTCCCAATCCTCTGATAACCTTTTTTAGCCTCGTTCTGTTCCAGAGGTGCTAGCATATTTCTGGAATGTGCCTTCAAATTGTAAGATGATGTCAATGAAAAACGAGCTCTACCAACATCAGAATGAAGGGCTGATCTTGC